TAACCACATTTAACCTGCAGAGCTGCAGGCAGGAAGGGGAAGCTGTAGTTGAACCCTGTGGCAAACACCACCACATCCACCTGTGAATGCACACATCAAATAATTAGATGAGATTTTCATTCAAACTCGTGAATGCAAACTTAATGTTTTACAACCATTGTTAAAAGCCAGATGCATGTGATGATCCACAGTCTAAGAATTGTTCTAACAAACAACCTTGTCTATGATGCTTCCGTCCACAAAGACCACACTGGACCCTCTGAACTCATTCACGTTTGGTTTCACCTTCACACGACCAGTTATGATCCGCGCTGGCAGGTCGTCATTCACTACAGGGATCTGTGCAAAGAAACTGACATATGGAGAGTGAAGTTGTTTAAGGGAAATATAGGAGCAGACGATTTCTGTATTGGTCAAGTTTTGTACAGATGTTCCAGATGTTATACCTGTGTCATCCTCAGTCCTAGCCAGAAGCGACAATCCCTTTAAATGGACCAATCAGCACCGATTCAGACTTACATACGAACACAAGGCCCTTTAATACTGCAAGGTGGAATATTTACGTCTGTGTGACATCTTGCCTTTAGTGTAATTGTCTCAGAAGCTTACTGGTGGGACCAAGTCGCCCCACCACTCTGCTCACTGTTGTTGACCATGTTTCTCAGACTACTCATTTAATTCACTTTCAAATACTACCTGCCACCGAGAAAATTGCTCAGACTGGGTTTACCTATGTATTTCTTTTTTGTTTGTATATGTATATAGTTGAAGACTTTTAAGGACTGACGGTATGGATTTACTGCCTACCAACATTTGAACGTTGAGGGGGGGGGGCTTTACTAAAAGCTCCAAAATTGTTCATCATTTCTCTCTCTATCTGCTCCTCTAATGATATTCAGGCGCAAACGCTCCTATAAAGTTGTCCTGCTCCGTGCAGTTTGCTCTTATTTTGTGACTGAATGCGGAGAGAAGATATCTGCACCTTCATAAACAGCATGAAGCTGCCCTCTTGTTCCCTAATTCCATCAACATAAAAATTATAAGGTAAGAGGGAAGGGGGAAACTTTTTACACTTTTTAACCAGTTAAAAGTGTTTAACCAGATTAAACAAAGCTTACTCACTGAATAGAGCAAGAAAGGTAAAATCGAAGAAAAAAAAAAACCCACTTGCAACGGCTCCAGACCTCTCCACACATGTCGATTAAGTGTGGAGCCGCTGATTTATCCCCAAATCATATTGGATCAAAGCATAGTAATGCCAAAGTTATATTTACAGATCAAGTAGTAAAGAGGTGGAAATGTTTTCCTGATCACTGGAATGTTTTAGGGTAACATACTTTGAGATATAATAAGACACTTTTTTACAATGAGGCTGATTTACATAGAAAGGGGCCACATTTCCCCCAAAAGACTGCATATTGGATCATTTAAATACACAGAATCATTACCAATGCACAGACGCAGTGTTTGCTCTGCAGTGCAGTTTAGGGAGCACCTTTATGAGCGTATTGTTGTCTCAGTAGCACAGATTAAGCATGCACAAAAGAAATCACTTTGTGAATCAGGCCCTGGACTGTTTCCCTGCTGAACTGTTCCCTGTTCCCCCGAGATTTGCTCTTAAAATAATCAGTTATCGGACACATGGAACTCAAGATATTTATGTACAAGTATCTCTTTACCCATGTTTTGGTTTCAAGCCATATAGTTTGTGGCAAAATGCTTCATTCAGCTTCTTTTCTACCATCCTGCTGATCCACGAGGGGAAGAGATTATGGATGATCATATCCATGCGAGACATCCCAAGGTCACCTGGAAATCCACCTGGTCCCACCCGACCAACAACCCACGCTCCACTCCTGGTGCTGAGGTACACCTGCAGGTCAGCGCATAGGAGTTACCATACATGTGCTCAGCTTTTAATTCAGTTTAGGTATTTATCCAAAGGCAGTGGTCATTCCACAAAAAAATCAACCTTTTCAGCAACTCTGCTGATATCCACAGCGATATCACCTCCAGAGTTCCCGATCCCAATCACCACCACTCTTTTTCCCTGCAGACCTTCAGCACTGCGGTAATCCCAGCTGTGGAAATGTCTGCCTTCAAAGCTCTCAATACCTGAAATGTAGAGATTATTAAAAGGTAATGCACAGGAGTCTTATGGAATGATATTTCTGTAAGAGAAAATACAAATTGATGAAAATGTTCATTGCTGTACCTGGGAAGTCTTTGAGTGGCAGGTGAGGCTGGGTGAAGTGTCCAGTACAAACCATGACTGCAGCAAAGACATGAATCTCCCTCTGACCCTCTCTACTCTCTGTCTCCACCTCCCACTGGCCGGTTGCAGCAAAATCAGCTGTCTGCCTCACACAGACCACCGTCATCTGATACAAACAAAATAACCTCTATTCATCTTGACATTTACAACATAAACAGGTATAATATAACCCTATTCAACTCTATAGTAACCCCTCTCTCTGACATTTCGCCAACACTAATTTTCCCGCCTGTGTGATTGTTTGCCCCGCCCTAATAGTTTTCACGTATGCCTGATTATCACCTTCCCAGTACTTTTAGTCTTTGCCTGTGCAAATATGTCTTGAAGTGAAGTTGTTATTTTAAATTTTAGGTACAGGACAAGGGCTCCCTCACCAATGAATCAACCATGTCTAATCATCTCTGTCACCATTGCCATTACCCATGTGTGCCTATGTTAGCCTGCTGCCCCCTTCTTAAGGGACAAAAGTAGGCTAGGGCACAGCCCACTTGTGAAGGTGCAGCAAACTGTTTCGGCCCCTCCAGAGGGCCAGGTTGTATCATCTCTTGTGCATCCTAACACTGAGTCAGACTATGGTCATGACATTGCATGTATTGTACCTCCTGTCCTCATACTCTACCCCCCCAATCCTTCAATTTCTAGAATTTTCTCCTTACCCCTCATCCCCCTCTGGTATCTAACCTTCCCTCAGGCAGTTTCTTTGATCTCCCTCAGCTCCTTTAACCGTCACAAGCCTGGGAGAGCTTACCATACCCCTTGGAAGATACAAATTCAGACACCTCTCACCTTCCCTTTCCAGAAAATATTCCCACTTCCATAAAACAATCTCCTCTGATTTCCCCACTAGGGCAGATCTGGATGACTATCTGTCCACCATCTTTGACTCAGCCCTGTGGTTCTGATACAGTCTAAAATACTAGAATCCATACAAACACAACGATCTTGAGCTTAATGCTGCCTTTAAAAGCAAACTAAAGGTGACTAACTTGGAAATGTATGTGCTGCAGCAGATTGAAGGTCTGTGCGTAGAGCCGCAGATAGAGCAACACCTCAGAGTGGTGCATGTTGTTGGGGAGCTCAGCTGGAGGAGGGAGGTCACTGAAGGCTATCATCTCTTTGGAGCTGTTGATAACCACCGACTGGTAGATGTTTGCTCGTCCAGGCTCTGGCTTTTCCTGATGGACAAAAAATACATTTATATCATCACCTGGTCCATCAGATGCAGTCTGAACGACAACGACTCATTTCACAAGCAAGGACTTTTCAAGTACAAGGTTAAAGAATTATAATGTTTCTGGAGCACAGTTTACAGCATGTTAATTTATCAAGTCATTCAGCGAATGGTAGCATCCAAAGTAGGGATATGTATGTCCTGACCAAATAGTTTTGTTTTTTTCCTGAGTGAAGACCTTCTTCTCAAGGTCTCTTACAGTGTAACCTTACAGTATGTGAGCACCTGATATGGTGTTGCATTGCACAGCAATTAATCATCATTGTCCACACGTCATGTTAACGACCAGCATGCCATCAACTACAGTATGCATTGGAGACCAGTATAGGTGATACAGTGCAAAAAAGGTGAATAACAACAGCAGCAAATGTTTAAGTCCTTGACTGTCATCAGTGCTACTGATGTCTGTTTCACAGAGTAGATATAGATGGAGACAGAGGCAGATACCTATAGGTGTGATCAAACAACAGGTGGTGCTACTAATAAGTTGAGACGAGCTCCCTCGAGTGAGCCAACAAACACTAAAACAAACAGAAAGAAACACTACAATACAACAATACTTTTAACAGATTTTGTGTTGAACTGAATATTTTCCTTAACAATTACTTTACAAGTTTTTCTTCCCCTGCACCTTTTTGTTCTTTTTAAAGGCCAAAATGAAAAGAAAGTATTCCTCTGCATTGAACAAAATAAAACAAATGATATGAAAAATTAGAGGCAGGTTTTTTTAATGTAATGTCTCACCTTAAACCTCCAAAGACCTCCGATGTCATGGCTGCTCTCAAAGCAGGTAGGCTCCAGGCCTTCATCCAAACAGGCCTTAATGCTGGTCAGACCAGAAACCCCTGCACCGATCACTGCAACCTTCTGCATCATGTTGGACTGGAATGACGACTGGCTGCAGCTGGACTGAAGCGATGATGTCAGGGTTAATGTTTCATGTGGAATGAATGAATGATTGCCTTTCTTTGTGTCTTGAGTGAGTCAATCGAGATAATCACGTTAACTTTGCGCCTAGCCTGCTGATCAAGCAGATTTAATGCCCCAATAAGAGCACAGTGAAGGGAGGTCGTGTGTTTCTCTGCAGTGGTCTTTAATTGAGTTTTCTTATGACCTGTCTGTTCTGTGTGGTGCACTGATAGAGACACCAAGGAGATGTGGATACATGTGTGTAGCACATCAATGGAAAAACACTTGAACATTTGTATCCATCGCTTTAAAGCCCAAAACAGCATGTATTGCAATATTTTTGTCCTGAAAATAATAATATTAAGTCCTGAAAATAAATACTCAGCCAAACATTACTGGCACATTGGGTGCCAGTAGCCTAGTGGTTAGCACATGCACCCCATGTATGAAGGCTGTAGTCCTCCAGGCTGGTGGCCTGGGCTCAAGTCCAACCTGTGGCTTATCCCCAACTCTCTCTCACTGGTTTCTGATTCTATGTTACAACCAGTGAATTTAGGACCCAGATGCAGGACACAAACACAGGGGTTGATTGGTAATGAAGTTTATTGTGGCAAATAGAGATGAAAATGGGTTGAAGATTCTGGAGGTTAGCAGAGTGAAGGGGACGAAGGCTGACCAGACCAGAGTAGGGGTGTGAGTGTGGCTGAGCAGTTTTGAGTCCAGAGAGCAGGTTGAGGCAGATGGCTGAGCAGGAAGGCAGGTGGGTGAATGGTGATCCTGAAGCAAAGGAAAAACAGGTTGAGACTCAAAACCCAAAACAAGCACAAAAGATTAATTTCAAAGGTTTTTTTCAAAATCTTAATTTAGCCTGAGCCGTAGTCTACCGCAGTAGTTGATACAACAATCTGGCGATGAGTGGATGGAGAGCCGAGGTATATATACTGCTGAGTTGATGAGGAGATGGAGAGCTGGTGTGCCGGTGAGAGCAGGTGAAAGCAATGAACCTCAATCAGGAGGGAGCCAGAGTGAGAGAGCCATGACAATCTACTGTCCTGTCTCTAAATAGAGACACAGAAAGCCCCCAAATAAACCTTAAAAACAAAAAATATTACTGATACATTTTTAAAAACGACTTAACTACAATATTAGTGTTTGCATTAAGTCATTTCACACCTGTGATGTCTGCAGTAGCTGGAGCTCTGACCTGATATACAAGGTTTGGCAGCCGCAGCAGCCGAGGCACAAGACCTGCCTGTTGGCTCGACGCTATATTGCGGCTTGTAGCGAACATACGATTCAAGCGCAAGACCTTGAAAATCCCCTTCATCCATATCAGTTTGAAGAAACTTACTTTTATCATACTTTCGTTCTTCTCAACTTTCTCCACAGAGCCTGTTAGCATAGCTTCAAAGCAAGTAGCGGACGTTGAGTTTTGATTCTGGGCATGAGGTCCCACTCACTGACCTGTAATAGGTCCGTAGCTTCAATGGGTTCCCCCCCCCAGATTGAAAACATGAGGAACTAGGGATGTAGTTTCACCCCCTCTAACCAAAGCAGCCTTTGATGACGAAAAAATTATGATTTTTGCATCATCGGAGGCTCCTTTTCAGACAAGAAATACAGAGCTTTCCCATCTCAGGGGGAAATGAGGGCGGGATACACGACCATTCAAAATTATTACCAGGTTTCTAATGATACAAAGCTTAATGCAAATGGGTGAAGTATTCCTTTAATGGATTGAATTGTGTGCAGTTGATTTCATGTTTTATCGTTCATGCATCCCTGCAGTGTCAAATACAAAAACTTAAAATTTAAGTTCTGAAATCTCAGTCTGTGTTTTGTCTCTATGTGTGAGTCCTCTTTTGCTGTATGTGATTACCTGATCATCACACAGAAGATGATAAACTGTGGTCACATTTTTATGAACCACTGAAAATCTTGTATTATTTAATATGTAACATCTCTCTTTTTCTGTGCGTGCAAAACAAATAATGCAAGATTTAATAAAGTCACCACTTAACTCCCCAGACCTGTCTGCTTCCTTCATATTTAACTGTGTTTAGATTTATACTGTGGATAAGTAATCAGTGTCTATTCCTACATTTTAACATTTAATTCCCACATCATGTTGCAGTCTGAAGCCCTCTGGATCCTTTGGTTCAGACTGGACCCATGCTTCATCCTGTCTTTTGTTTATCCCATTAACCAGGAGTCCCACAGGAGATGCTTACAACAGTCCAGGATCTGATATGGGCCCTGAAGGGACAAAACAAGAGCGGCGACCAAAGATCCTCCAAATACAAGCATCCAGGGAGGGCTGAGCGAAGGTCTGCTGTCTAGCTCTGGTACTGATCTGGTCCTGAAAGGCTGAAGAACTCGTTCCCACTGAGTCAGGATGGCCTGACGGGCTCCGGTCCAGCGTCCAGACCCGTTCAGACGGTACTGATAAGGAGTGAGCGGACCACAGAAGACCTTCATCCAGAGCACAGGATCCGTCAGCAGAAGAACCAGGAGGTTTGGTCGAACGCCCACCTGTGATTGGAGGTTATGAGTATGTTATACATACAGTCATATCAAGAGGTGCTGCTTGTCAACAGGCAAGGCAGGCAACTGCTTGGGGCCCCAGATCAGAAGGGGGGCCCAGAGGGCTGACAAACTTTAACAAAGCATCAGCCCAAATGTGCAAATTTTGCAGTGACAGTAGGAAACCTCCCTAAGGGGGCCCCACCTGACAGCGCTCACTCTCGTTGCCCTGCTGAACGCTGTTTGCCTAGGGCCCCAACAGACTCTAAAATCACCACTGGTTCATATCCTGTAACACCTGTAACAACTTGTTACAAACCATAGACCTCGCTCTACCTTACCTGCTCAGCCATGAAGTCAAGGTAGGAGATGTAATCCACCTGCAGAGCAGCCTGACGGGGGCATGGATAGCTGAGACATAAGAAGAATGTGTCACATTAAGTACCTTAGAAAAACAAGAAATGTTTAAACATCAGAGTGAAGATCATTTTTACCTCTTAATGTTCATCTTTCTCTCAGACTTGATGACGTTCAGCATTTTCTTCTCAGGAGGGAGACGACTCATACCTCAAATGTAAAACACAAGCTAACACTCTGCTTCTCAAACATTACAGGGTCTGTGTGTGTGTGTGTGTGTGTGTGTGTGTGTGTGTGTGTGTGTGTGTGTGTGTGTGTGTGTGTGTGTGTGTGTGTGTGTGTGTGTGTGTGTGTGTGTGTGTGTGTGTGTGTGTGTGTGTGTGTGTGTGTGTGTGTTACCTGTAAAGACCTTCACTGCCCACCTGGCCTGCATCTCAACAATAGGCATGATAGGTCCTTTAGTCTGGAAAAGACCCATGACGGCCAGCGTGGGCGGAGACAGAGACGGAGGAAACACTCGTCTGAAATGTGGAGAAAGATATAAACAAATCCATGAAGAACATAAAATTTTACAACTATAAAATATAGAAGTCTTTTCAATATTAAGATTAAAAAACTCAACACAGGAAAAAAAAGTTTTGTAAGTTTTCTTCCTTATTTTGATTCCTTATCTTTTTCAGGAGTGAAAATAGTAAAAAATAAACAAAGTTTTTGCAGTTGACAAATGAAAATGTTCAGAAATATTTGGTTTGTTGTTGTTATTCTTATTCTAGCCACAAGAGACAGATGGCTCTGTCTAAAGCTGTTGTTAAAAAACTTCAGCAGAACATTTCTTACTTGTACAGTGTGAACTCTCTGTGACTGCTCTCAGTCAGACTGGCAGGCAGGAACGGAAATGTTCCTTTATACCCCGTACAGAAGACCACTGAGTCAATGTTCTCCTCCACAGACCCGTCTTCAAACACCACTCCAGACTCTGTGAACTTCCTCAGGTTTGGTTTCATCACGAGTGCTCCCTGAAGAATCCGACCAGGAAGATCATCATTGATCAGAGGCCGTCTGTCTAAAGGTCTGAAGGATACAACAACATTTGTTCACTTTGTCACATTCTATACTTTCACATTCTGACACTAATCACTTCCACCTCTTTTATATTGCCCGTGAGGAATTATTTTAACTTCAAACATCATCATGTAAGCATTATTTCAGAGACCTGCTCTGCCTGTGTTTCCATGGATCAAGTTGCAGAAGGGTCATGATGTGTTTACCTGTGTCTGGGCTGCAAGCCGTACACTCTGTGGTCATATCTCTGGTTCAGCGATCTCTCTGCAGCCCAGTTAATCAGAGTCTTTGGGAGAAGCCGCATGAGGGTGTTATTCAGCCGGGTGATGGCGGTCATGTCAAGAGGAAGACCGGCACTGGACATCCTGCCGATAACCCAGGCGCCCTGCCGAGTGCTCAGGAACGTCTGTCAGAGAGACAAGAGGAAGACTGAGTGAACATGTGTGATGCAGCAAGATAACCAGCAAACAGAAATTTGAAATGTGTATTATTCCTTCTGATCATCCTGTTGTTAAAGAAACTTCGCAGCTATATCAGCCTAAAAGATTTTACAGAGCCCAAAAAAGGGACATTGAATGAAACTATTTAATAAGTTGTAGGTGCGCAAGAGAAACTAACCTGTGAGATTTCTTGTGCTCCTTTATGTGCTCACAAGGAAGTTTATCATGCTAAAAAGGAATCATTGCATGTGCATGTGAAACTCTCTGAGATAACACCATTTACTGTACCTCATATGACATAGAATTGCAGAAACTGTCTAGTGCACAAACAATACTGTTGAGCAACTTTCATAAAAGTTATTGTTCACATGCAATATTTGCTCTCGTGAGCATTCGATACTTGTGCACATGGCAATACCTTCTTGTGAGATGGGAAACTTTTAGATGATTATTTCTTTATTTCTTTTCTGCCATGTTCCCCTAGGGGCTTCCTAAGATTATTTATTTTACAGTTCATCTTTTCTAATTTGTGCAGTTTTTGGAACTTTTGTAAATGCTTACACCACAGTACACATTTAACTCTTTTACCTTCTCTGCAGATCTGCTGATCTCTACTGCGATGTCCCCTCCAGAGTTTCCGATTCCAACCACCACCACCCTCTTTCCTCTGCAGGCATCAGCATCTTTAAATTCCCAGCTGTGTAAACAACGACCAGAAAACTTCTCATGTCCTGCAAGGAATCAGAACATGCAACAGATCAAAGGGAGAGCCCCCCGGCAAATATTTAACTAGCTTCAGACAAAGATCTGGCTCTGTTAAATGTTTCTTTGGTGAATTATTCCTGCTTGCTGACCTGGAAAGTCTTTCAGAGGTAAAGATGGATGTGTGTAGTGACCTGAACACACCAGGACTGCATCAAACACGTGTCTCTCCTCCTCTCCGTCCCTGTTAACGGTCACTATGTCCCACTGACCTGACTTAGAGGAATCTGCTCTCTGTGAGACGCTCTTCACTGTTGTCTGAAGAGTTAACACACACTTTAATAACTTGGACTGCTTTATAAACGTATATACTCCTGATAAAGAGACAGTAATCACCTTGAAGTGGACGTGTCTGAGCAGGTCGAAGTACTCTGCGTACAGTCTGTAGTACTGGAGCAGCTGAGAGTTGTGCATGTAGTTTGGATAGTCAGCAGGCATGGGATAATCACTGAAACACATCATCTCTTTGGACGTGTTGACCACCAGGGAGTGATAGATGCTGGCTCGCTCCAGCTCAGGGGACTCCTGAGGACACAACATGATCCTGACATGATTGATATTGTTGCTGAGCATAATCTTTTACTTTTGAATAAAACAAACCCTAAACTGGAGAATTTGTTGGACATTCTCTGCTCACCTTAAACCTCCACAGGCCACCAATGTCATCGCTGCGTTCAAAGCAGACGGGTTGCAGACCTTCATCAACACACACCTTTACACACACCAGGCCGGAACTTCCTGCTCCGATCACAGCAACACGTCCAACCATCGCTCAGGACTCATCTGAGAGAGGGACTGTATATGAGAGGGACAAAAGATTTAGAAATGTGTTTGAAAACAATAATCCTGCACTTTATGACCTGCATGTCAAGTCACTGTGAGACTGTCTTTTGGTGACAGTAGAGCTTTATGCTACATGCAACATCAAAAAATATATATTCCATGTATTTTTTTTTTTCAAATACAAGCTTTATGACTGTCAAAGATTAGGTACTTTATCATTCAAATACTGTGTTTTTATAGTGTGTTTTATACTTTCTGTTTTTATATCTTCTAGTTGGAACAGTTGAAATCAGATTCATGTTCTGACTGACAGCATCAAGAGCTTAATGGATCAGAGAAACAATAAAAATGAGAAAATGAAACGTTAAATTACAAAATCAAGCTGGATTCTTCTCAGAAAATCTCAGTTTTAAATGTTTGTATCTTTATAAAAACTGTTGTACTCAAAGTGTTAACACATTCAACTATAGTTTAAACCTCAGAGTGATCTGATCAGTGGACAGGAACATATCGTGTGGCTACAGGTCACACTGCTGGAACAAAATCTTAATTGACGGCAAGTGTAAAAAATGTTCTTACCGTCTCTGATCAGCTGTTTTGAGTCCTGTACTGGTTACTGAATGTGAAACAGCCTCGAGGTTCACATGAACCGAAGCGTGGTGTGTAATCAGAAATGGAATTTGACCCTGTCTGGAGCTTATTATTTACCGTTGACGGTCTGGAAGAGTGAAAACACTTTCTGTAGAGGAAAACTGTTTTAGGGAGAAAAAAGACAGAGAGGAAATGAGCCAGAGAAGAAGGAGGAGGAAGAATACGATTGCTACACCTCTACAAAGAACCTGCTGAGATTGTCATGACTGATTCTTGTTTTGTTTATTTTTCCTGTTTTTGGTCATTTGTTTATTCTGTTTTCTGTTGTCTTTTCCTTCCCTTGTGTTTCTTGTTCATTGTGTGAATAGTTATATTCTTGAGTTCTCTGTTGGTCTTTATTCTTTTCTTTTTCTTTTACAGTTTTTGTCCCCAGTGTTACTTGTCTAGGTTGACTTTCTCCCTTTGTTAGTTTTCCCTCCACTTTGATCGCTAATCAATCTCGTCTGTCACACCTGGTATTGATTACCCCAGAGTGTGTTTATGTTCCTTCCCTCCAGTGTCAGGGTGCATCCGAATTGCCATATCTCATCTTCTTTCGTAAAGGATGGTCCAGTGTATCCTAAGCTAAAGGAGGTTATAAAGGAAGCATTGACCCACCTTTCCTTAACTTTTAGAGAATTTGAACAGCTCTTATCATGGCCGCCACTTAAATGCTTCCGGGGTTAAGGTAAAGTGGATAGTGAAAGGAGATAGGAGGGACAATTCGGATGCACCCTCAGTCCATAAAGTCCCGCCTCCCATGTTTTTGGGATCTCCGAAGTGAGTTTTTCATTGGGTGCGGCTTGTGTTTTTTTCTTCTGGTTTTACATTTTCCAGTGTTTCTTTGTTGTTGTGGGAATGGGAACTAGAATTTAGACAGATTCTGTTTTTTGGACGTTTTAGGGAGACGTAAGGAAAAAGCTTTTGTTTTGCCTTTTGAGCTTTGGTTTTAATAATTCCTTTTCTGCCGTGGGCCCTGCTCTTTATTTAAACTACAGACTTAAACATAGATTAAACAATGATTCAGTCTTTTCTTTTCAGTTATTCCTTGGTTAAAGCTGATTTTACATTAACTTTTTCTTTTGCGGGTGGTAAAATGTCTTCTCAGATTGCCAACATAAGGGCCACTGCTCACTCTAAAAGAAATGTTAACCAGGAAAAAACTCAGAGGCTGAAATTTTCACTCTGATTAAACATTCCTGTTTTTTGTATTCCTCTTATCATGACGCTGCCTCTCCCCCTTAGATTATCTGAACCAAAGAAAACTTTGATCAATAACTAACTGTTTCATGCTCACACTCGGTAAGCTTTACAAAGTGGTTTAGTATCACCAAGTCAAAAACGTCATTACTAACTTTTTCATATGGCCATGCTGAGCTCACTGTTCTCATTCTTATGTAAATGTTGGACCCAGATCTCCTGCAAAGTTTCCAGATTCTTGCCTCTAGATGGCGTCCTCACCAGCTTCAAGGGTAATGCTCCTATCCTTCACTTTACTGGCTGGACTTGGAATATTATGCAGAGCATTGCACATCTATGTACAACCCTTTAAAAAAGTATTTTTTATGTTTTTAAATGACCATGAAACTTAGAAATACTTTCACCCTGTGATCTGTGTGCTGTGTTTTATTTAAACTCACTCTCTTCCCTGACCAAATAAAGTTAATGAACAAATAAAGTCTTACCTCAAATGTCTGCAAATAGTAATTCTCACCTTCTTTATTATTTCAGTTATTCTTTTGTGCATTTATCAAACTCTTTCCTCATTTCACATGTGCATTTACTTTATGGTGTTGATAAATTTTGAGTTTAAATTATGAAGAGCAAACAAAAGGTACGTCTTTATTTGATCGAAAACACATCATGTATCACTATAATATTTATTATTAATCCGCCAGGGACAATAAATGACTTTCAAAGTTTGTAATAAAGCTTTTGGAATAGTGTTTTTACTGTTAATCTGATTTAATCTGTATTCAGGTTTTTATGCAGTCAATCATTTGTTGGACTGTCCCATCAAAAGTGTCCTTACACGCCCCTAAACTCCTAAAAACTCATTAACGGTCCATCTGTGTACACAGACTCAAACAAACTCAGATTAAAGAGTTAGTATGTTCAGGAATGTATATTCATAAATATGATCTGAGTTTAGTTCTATGGTTGATCTCATGTTTGACCTGTTTAATATTGTAAAATAATTAGGGCTGTCAAATTATCTTATTTTTAAATGCGATTAATTGCTAAATTTCATTAGTTAGTTTCAATTAATCTCATTTTGAATCACCATTTGAAATTCCATTCCAACAGCTGTTCTTGAGAGTTCTAATCATCAAAACCATCCTAAATATCATCATTGTTTTTATGCCATCATCATCACTATCATTAAGTGAGCTGGGTCTTTAGCTTTTCCTTTAAGGTGCAACTCCGCAGATTGAATGGAGTTTGGTAGTTCGTTCCAACCTCAAGGGTGAGAGAGGAGAAGAGTCTAGTAAGAGGGCCCTGTTGTGAAGGTTGGATCAGACGCCTGTAGAGCATAGTGGGCGGGAGGGAGTGAAGACCTGGATGAGAGAGTTTAGAAAAGGAGGAGCTGTTTTTGTCGCTGTTTTGTAAGAGAACAGTAGGGTTTTTAATTTGATGCGAGCAGTAACTGGGAGCCAGTGGAGGGAGGTGTGATGCTTTGGGTAGGTTGAAGACCAGTAGCGCTGTTGCATTTTGGATCATCTGCAGCGGCTCATCACACCTCAACAGTCACAAACACACACAGAGAACCAAATTTCATCTACAAACTCTGTGAACGTCTTCTACATTTTTTTTTAAAACTCTCTCATCTCAGAGGAGGACATGTTGAGACTTGGATCTTCTTTTACGGGGCATGTTTTCAATCATCTCATGGTTGAGATACTTTACAACATAGTATTTGAAAGAGGAGCAGGTCGTGTTCTGGTTCCTCTTCATTAGCAACAGATTATAAAAGATAAACAGTTTAAATTTAAAAACTTTAGTCATTCAAATGTGCCCACTTAATTCACACTCATTCCTTTAATCACACCAAGAGGACATTAAAGAGCTGTTGTCGCTAGGTTTGTTTGTTTCAGGGTGTTCAGATGGTTAGTGGGCGGAGCTTGGACAGCAGGGTGGAGAAGGTGGTCGGGTAATGCACGTGGACGTAGTAAACAGCTGCTCCACCAGCCATGACAGTCAGACTCAGCTTCACCAGGCGGCCGGTGATGGAGGCCTCGGGCTCCTTCAGCTAGTAGAGAAGAAAATGTTTCATACTTAATGTTCATATAAAAGAGAATTAGCATTTAATGCAAAGATAAAATAGTGCAGATGAAACAGTCATTCATGTCACACCTTTCTGGTCTTCAGAGGCTGGTACATGCGGTCCAACTGTGTGAAGATAGCTCTGCGGGCCCCATCCCATTTCCCTGGTCCTGTCAGGCGGTACTGGTAAACGGTGACTGGCCCCCACAGGACCCTCTTAAAGAGCGGGTAGTCTTTGAAGAACAACCACAGCAGACTGGGACGCACCCCAATCTCTCCTGCGATGTCGTCCAGGTAGGAGACAAAGTCCACCTGAAGGGGGGTCCGCCGCGACAGATTGTAGCTGTTTAAATGATGCAACATGGAATATTAATATAAAATACCCAAAGTGTTTACTACAGAAGCCCATACATTATGCTCTATTTTCCTGTAATAATGACTTAAATGCAGTTGTCTACTTCAGATTGTGAATTATTTATCTTGTTACTGTAAAACAATGCTGGTTTTCCTGCAAATGTCAAACGGCAAATTCTCAAGAAATGTTGGTAGGTTTACTAAATGTCAGTGTATAATATGTTTAACGTATGTGACCAAATATAAAGTTAACTTCAACTTTAAAAAAGCAAATGTTTCCCCGTAGGGGTTCAAACATAAAAGGTAAAAATGTTTAGGAAAATAAATATTGACAGTTGAACCTTTTCTCCATGTCCTTGGTGTCTTTCTCCACAGACTTTATCATGACCTTGTTTGAAGGCAGCTGATTGTCCCCTTAGGAACAAAAGAATGACATTAAACAGTGCAATGTGGTCATTGTGTCGATATTAACTGGATATGCAGACTCACCTTTAAAGACCCGTGCGACCCATCGCGCCTGCATCTCAGCCTGAGGCATGATGGCGCCGAGGCCGTGGATGAAACCCACCACAGCCAGTGTTGGGTGCTCTATGTTGGGAGGAAACACGTGTTTGTACAGACCCACTCGGTGCCCAGAGTTATACAAAACACTGCTCGGCAGGAACGGAAAACCATAGTCGTAACCTGTGGCGAACACGATCGTATCCACCTGGAACAGACGACAGATGTCAGAGATAAAAGTAGAAAGATGTTTAGGGAATCCTTTGCGACAACTTACTGTCAGACCTTTTCCACAATGCTGCCGTCATCGAACACCACGGAGGAGCCTCGGATCTCCTTCACGTTTGGTTTGATGATAACGGAGCCTGACAGGATTTTAAAGGGGAGATCATCGTTGATAATCGGGATCTGGCTGAAGAGTCTGCAAAAGCAACAGAGAAGGGGATGCTATTGATCCTAGAATTTTTATTTATTTTCTGCAAAATCTTCTTACAATGTGAGAAAGTAAGAGTTTATTTATTTCATTGTCAAGGGGCTGCTGCTGATTTGAACATTGGTAAAGAGACATCCTGCAAAGGCTGTCATTCATTTAAGAGGCAACCAACAACACTCAGACACAATTAGGGTCGCCGGTTCAAGTCCCGGCACAGACCAAGTCAGGAAATCGACCTGGTTGCTGGAGAGGTGCCAATCCACTTACTCAGCACTGCCGAGGTGCCTTAGCAAGACACCGAACCCCGAAACTGGTCTGGAGTGCTCACTGGGGGCAGCCCCCTCACTCTGAGACCTCTCCATTAATGCATGTCCATAGGCTCCTGTTTGTGCATGTGTGTGTCTCTGGGCCTATGTGTGAGTGTAAAACTGAATTTCCCCTTGCAGGATTAATAAAGTATCAATTCTTATTATTATTTTTGTCTGGATGAATACTCAACAGTGATTGGTGACAAGATGTCAATTAATACCTGACAATTAAACACCTACAAAATAGCTCAGGTAAAATTATTTGTCTAAACTATATAATCCACGTCTACACTCCCTCCCACCCACTAACTCTGCCAATGAAAGGTGTCTGATCAAACCTTCACAACAGGGTCTTAAGATGCACTAGACTCTTCTCCTCTGTTGCCCCCCGGTGGTGGAACGAACTTCCAAACTCCATTCGATCTGCAAAGTCCCTTTGCTCCT